TTTTCTCCTCTTTCCAGTTTTTCCTTTCCTGTTCTACTTACATTGCAGTGTCCATATAATCTGTAATACTCCCTACATGAATTATAATAAAGCTATGTACATGCATAAATCAACACTATGGCGATAGCCGTACTGCTCCACTTGTGAAAGCAAAATCTGTTGGGCTCTTTTTTGGCATCAAGACAATTATTCCTATTGCCACATTGCAATAGGACACAGTAAAACAAAAAATAAATAAAAAATAAAGAACATAGCAGACTGTGATCTTTTGGACAGCTTGAGATGCAGTAAATGAGTCAAAAGCAAAGGAAGTAACATGGTACAAAAAGACTATTAGGTGTAGAAGCCAATACTTTCTTTTGATGATAAACAACATAGTTAAAGGTTAAAACTTTGGAAAAATGCAAACCCTTTAGATTAAAAACATAATGTGCATAATTTATATTGCAGTTTTACTAGTTGTGCCCTCAGACTCAGGCCACGACTGCAGGACTTAAGGAAACAGAGAAGCATATTATTAAGCATATTTACCAGTTATTATGCAGGGCCACAACATTTTTAAAACATCACAATAGGAAATGAGTAGCAACACTGATGCCAACCTAACTAAGAATATTAAATAAGTTATGAAATGTTGTCTTTGTCTTTCCATGTCTATGAAAATGATCAGTACAACCAGCACTCTTCTAATCCAGCATATTTGCAAAGAACTGTAAACCTGCTGTTTTAAGCAAATGCATAATGTAACATATATATTCACGGTCCTGTGAGTGAAAATAAGCATATATTTAACCTTTTATGCTTATCCATGAAAAATATATATTTTAAAGATGATACTCTACTAATTTATATTAAAACGAAATGCATAACTACAAAAGATCCCCCCTCTAGAACCATTTATCAGATTAAAAACTATACCTTTGTTGGTGCTTGTGTGTACACTTATTGATTATTGTGTACAACATACACTAGTGCGACTACATTTCAAGCTTGTGGGGGGGGTGTTCAGAATAAATTAGCCCCTGTATATGGGCACAGTTAGATTTTTTTGTTCTAAATAAATACGTTTATGATTTTACTCTCAAAATAAAAAAAATAGGTATAAAACTGTGATTTTATACCCAAGAGACATCCCATATGATAAATGAGGAAAACACCCAGATTTCTGGGTGCATGTTTTATATTTTGTGGTTACTCACAATCAGTGGACGACCATGGATGTCTATATGAACAAACACCAACAGCCCTTCCTTCTCTTTGCCCTCTGAACCCTACGGCTCGGTTTCAGGCCCACACACTCAAGACCCACTGAGGACCAGGAGCTTGTAAACCTAAATAGCGCCTCACCAAAAGAGCACCAGCAACACTACATATATCTCACTCTGCAGGCAAGAAGAGGTCCTAAAAAATCCAACCATGCTATTGCTTATTACAACAGCATTTTATTCTCCTGCAAACTGGCTCAACCTTAAATGGATCTAAGAGGAGTGGGACACAAGTAAAGTTAAGGGTGTGAGAAAAAAGGCAGTGAGGAAAAATATAGAGAGAAAACACCAGAAAGAAAAATGGACAAAACCCCCGAATAATGTGGACAGTGAGTATAACTGGAGAAATACCTAGAGCCCAGGGACAAAGAGAGAAGTATGTTTTTCATTTTCACAGCTCTGTGGGAAAGCAAAACAGAACAAAGCACAGTGGGCATTTTCTACTTCTCTGCCTGTTAACAAACAGGCAGCCTGTAAAATATTGATGCTTCAATCCCAGGAAAGAAATGTCTGAATGATTTTGGTGCTTCTGAGAAGGAAGAATTCACCTATCTATAATTGATACTGCTGAAATGTTAATAAATGGGTTGAGAAACCACTGAAACTGAGGCTGGAAACTGTATGCTCTACTATGTGTATTTCTGTATTTGTGTCTGTTGCTGTCTGGGACAGAAAAATTTAATCTGCAGCTTTTTACTCATAAAGTTTACCAAAGGTCTTTTTCTACTGTGTATGTTTAGCAATCACTCATTTGTGGCTGCCACAGAGATAAGAACTTGCAGGATTTAGATACTTAAGACTTCACAAGTCATTGTTTCAGGGTCTTATTTTCTGTTTTAGTTCTGCAGATATCTCGTAAATGTCAACAGCTGTCCTTGATTTGTCCACCCTTAGTCCATTATGTAGTGATTCAGCAAATTTGTGTCAGTGCTTAAAATGTCCAAGGCAATTTCTTCTTTGCTTGCTGAACTGGACGTTTGCAGTAATGCAGTAAAACTTATGTGCAGAATGTACTACCCAGAGGTCCTAGTACATCCTGATCTGTGTATGCGAACAAACTCTGCTAACTTTTGTGAGTTTATTAATAAACCCAACAAGAATTAGCTTAAATTTGGAACATATCACTCAAATTCAGAATAGTGATTCCACTGAGATCCTGAGTTACCTCAGATTTACTTTAAGGAGTTAAGAATGACTTGGATTTTAAGTGCAAATTTGAGAAATAGAAGAAGAAATATACAACAACATTAGTATGGTGATACTTTATGTCCATTATTAATATTAAATTTAAACAAATATTTTCTGTAATGAAAAATGGACATTATTATACAGTACAACAAATATTTGTCAAAAGATAAAGACAAAAGCCAACAGAGCAGAGCAGAGTCAAAATAATTATAGTGTTCTGCCTGGTGAACTTACTAACCCTGCTAATGCTAATGTTAGCATGCTAATTCTAACAAACACATCTAATCTAACATAAATAATAGGAATTTCCCACACTAGAAAGCAAACTCCTATATGACCCTATACGTCATTAGAATGTATCTTTAAAATGTAGATTTAGGGTAAGTTTTATTAATTAAAAATATTTTTTTATTTATGCCCAGCATCATTTTAGATTAAACCGTGTATAATGGAGTATTTTGTTTTTGTTGTTGTTTCATTAATGCAACACTTAAAGAGATAGTTCCGGTAATTGGACATGAACTTGCCACCGTGCCAACATGCCAGAGAAAAAGAGTTGTTTGTTGGACTATTTCAACAATTTTAAAACATCCCAAAACAACATCAGACCTTGATAATATTAACGACTATTTTTTGGGTGTTATCACTCTGCTGCATAGATGTAGACGACAGTTCATGCAAAAGGAAATAAACTAAGCAGCTAATCAACAGGCCGAACACCTAAAAGCTGTTTATGAAAGTAAACAATTAGACCATTATTTGTGATTTTTTATATATTTTTATATATTTTATATATTGTTTATATATTATATAAGAACACCTGCTCAGGTTTGTGACACTTGTTATAAGATAGTAGACAAGACCATTTTTAAAGTCAGAATTTAAGATAAAAAAAAAACAACATTGACAAAGGATGAAGTAGAGAATGCTCTTAATGGTTTGTGGTTGGCTTTTTAAAAAGGAAGGTTTAATTTATCCGTAGAAGGACTGTTTTGTGGTCCTACCTCCAGAGGAGACACGGGTCCACCACAGGCCCTCAACCCAGCTCTGGCTCGCTGTCTGCTTGGCAGGCTTCTCCAAACTACCACATGTTTTCCTCTGGTCTCCTCCTGAACTAGCACCTGCAAACTGCTGCCCCTCGTCTCTTTTTGCTAACCTTGAAATATGTCTGGCCAGCAAAAGCAATTTGCACTGCGGACAACAGAGGAAAGGTAAGATCGCGTTCTTTCCTGCTGCTCCGGAATTCCAGAACGCCTTCTCACTTTCCCACTGTTGTCCGTAGTGGATCTTTCCACCAGCGGTATATTACCTATTTAGTTTATTTATGTTCGAAGGAACTGTATTTTACATTTATATGGCAGAGTGATAGCAGCCAAAAAATAGTCCTAAATTACATCACGTTCTGAAATTGCTCTGGGATTAAAAAATAATTTGAACTAGTCTCACTAGTGGGGCGACAGTGGCGTTGGGTGCAGGAGTTTCCCCTGCAATCGGCTCCATCTATCAGTGTCTAGTGTCCTTCGGCAAAACACTCCCCCTTCATTGTCTACTGATGGTGGTCAGAGGGCCAGGGTGGCGCCAGTGTACGGCAGCCATGCTTCTGTCAGTGAGCCCCAGAGCAGCTGTGGCTAAAATGTTTTTTTCCACCATCAGTTTGTGCGTGAATGACTGAATGACTGAATGTAGTGTAAAGGGCTTTGGTCAAAATCTCCTGACTTGAAAAGGCGCTATATAAGTACAGGACTGTTACCATTTAAAAAAAAACAAATACATAGTTTTTCTACCCTTTGATTATTCCCCGTACCATACCGGAACTACTTTTTCTCCATTACATTTAAGGCTATTTCTCATGGCAGGAGGCTCATTGATGGTCGGCCACTCTTGCATCTCAGCCACATATGGTGAATGTTTCACACAACTTCATGTCCCACAGCTCTCAAGTAGCGTAAAAATTAGCTGGATAAACCCAACTGAGTTTTTCACTCTTTTTATAGAGAACATGATATAGTTATTGAGTATGTGTTGTTATTTTACACATAAATGTCTGAAAGAACACATCTCTGATTACTTTATGGAACTCTAATCCAACAATAAAATTTTTCATAAATATATTCTAAGTTTTAGACTTTATTGCTGCGTGTTTGATACCTCGATGTGCAACCAAAGCCAAACAGCCCAGAAACGTGATGAAAATCATTTCCTGTAATCTGTTTTAATACAGTCAAAGTGTGAAAAAGCTTTCTGGCTCAGTGAAAGTGTCGTAATTAGACTTTGATAATTAGAGACAGGGGATGGAGGGAGGTCCCAAAGTGATTATTATGGCAGAGTGAAAGCCAGAGAAACAGAAGGAGAGTGGGCTGAAGTTCACCACTAACTCTCACTCTGAAATAGGCGAGACCAAAAGCTCCAGGCAGAAAGAACAAGTTGGAGAAACTCAGAATCACAGTAGCTTTAAAAACCTCCCACCATTTAAACCATTTTTCTCTCAATAGATCCTTTGTCTGCCAGCCATTAAGATCAGTTCTGTGTTTTGTTGTTGTTGCTCACCTGCAGTCCAGCTTCTCCATTTCAAAGTGTGGGTTGAAGTTAAGGACTATGCGCTGCGATGGCTCCGGGGCTGTGATGACCCAGTGGCAGTTCTGGTGAGGGGGATACTCCTGCGGGTAGCCAGGGGTGGTAATGTAGCCGGCATCGCTGGCATCTAAATAGCCACCGCATTGCTCAGATGCTGGGTAAAGAAAAACATATAATGGTCGAGACATGAGTGACACTGGGAATAATAAATGAAGTAACTTTTCTATTTATTCTGTGTTATTTAGAGATCTTTATTTAAGTGCCAATGCTGTTGGTTTGTTGAAAATCAACACAGGAAATTACAAAATCACACAATTATAATCAGAAATGCAGGCAGGATATGAGAAACTTAACAACCTGATAAACAAAGGCATCGTTGTGGAGCAAGATGACTCACAAACCTAATATCTTACACACTCAGCCTTCCAGAAGCCCCAGTTACTGTCACAGAGCGGATTCACTTGTCAGCAGTCATATGTCTGTCTCGTGTCATAAACAATGCCACTTATTCACTGGTGCAGATGCAATCTGACACAGATGGACAGCACTTCCACGTCTGTTTAACCCAGCAGCATAACACACGCAACTGTTCTACCATAACAGTGGCTACTCTTTTAAACTGATGGAATGAACTCTCAACGCTGGACTCCTATACTGTCCAGGAACTTTACTGTTGTACTGTGATGGTGGATTTATGGTATTTATTTACCTTATTTTTCACAATCTGCTGATTGATCATGAGTGAATATTTAACCCTTTTTTATAGTTTTTTTTTTTAGATTGATTAAAGCTCTTTAGGAGACATTTGTTGATTTTCTTATTCATGTTCAGTCCTTCCTCTAGTTCCATGCAATATAATACATACTTCTTAACATTTTTTCTATTTGTCATATTACAACTATACTAACAACTTTGAACAGTACCATTTTCTAAGGGGAAACATCTCCACAGCATGATACTGCCACTACTATATCTCAGCATGGAGATGGGTTAATCAAGTTGATCTTTATTAGTTTTGTTAAAACTGTTCAGTTTTGATCTAATTTTATTGAAGCATCTTCTTCTATATTTTTTAATACGTCTCCTACATTGATAAAAAAATAAATAAATAAATGCAAACAGGATTTTGGATTATTTTTTTAAGCCTCTTCTCAATAAAACGAAGCTTTATGGGATGCATAAGTAGTATCTATTCTTTCAAAAGATTTCCCCACCTGAGCTGTGGAATATGTCATCTCCTTTTGATCTAGAATGGCTGCTTTTCTGATTAAAGCTCTCCTGCTTTATGAGGGACAGCCATGTTCTGATGGGCTTGCACTTTGGTACATTATCCAATGACCTACACTTCAAAAACGATCTAGAAATTTATAAAAATGACATAAATTAACTATATTTACCTTTAATTTGAGTAGGAAAATAAGATGATCTGCCAATGGAATGAGGATTTTTAATCTTAAAATAAGATATTTACAAAATATGTACTTGAAATACGACAATGCAATAATTTTTTTCTTATTTTAAATGTAAATTGTCTTGTTTCATTGGTAAAGAGTCTAACTTACGTCCTCAGTTCAAGCAAAAATGCACTTATTTTAAGAAAATATTACTTATTTAGGTTTACATTTTTTTCAGTGTAGCTCTGCTTTAAAATTCTTCTCAACTTTATCTTTATTCTTCTCGACTTGTCTGCTGTGCTCCTTAGTCTGAGACCTTAAGCCTTCAAAAGATAGATTTACAGTGATCAGGTTGTCTCAATTTACTAATTAAGTGAGTTCTGAATGCAGTTGGCTGCATGAGATTTTATTTATCGTAGATTAAATGAAGAGAAAGAAAAAATTGAAAATCATAAAAAATTTTACAATTTTCATTAAAATTCACATTCATGCTACTTTGTACTGTTTTGTCACATGTGGTAGAAACATATTTGCTAAAATAATCTAATAAATGACAGACAAATAGGCATTAAAATCAGCCAGATAACCAATGAAAAACTAAGAAATGAGAAAATATCAAACCTAAGGAAATATTAAAACAAACAAAAAGATGAAATAGTGGACTAAATTCTATACTGATTCAGTTTACAGTGACATATTTTTTTAATCAAATGCCAAAATTAAAGTCACATTAAAAGCTGTGTTGTTTTCCCAAGAACTGTGTAAATTAGTACACAATTATAGTTGAATGACCAGTGTTACAGCAAAGAAGGAAAAGGAAAGCCTCTTTTTACCGCAATTGTTAAAAGACAAAAAAAAAAAAAAAGGTGGCATTATTTCAACAGTAACAACTAAATAAAAAAAATCATCAGTGTATCTGCAAATAAACAGATGGATTTTCAGTAAATATTTTGGGGAAACGATGGCCACGATGGACCAGGTTATTTAAATGAAAACAGCATCTGCGAATGCTGGCTGATTGATGGGAAAATACTTGGCTGGTATGCAACACCCTAAAATAATTTCCTGTTTTCCAGAGAAAGGGAGAACAAACTCACAATTGGACTCCTGACAGAGTTCATTATTTACTCAGCCATGGCTAAATACGCATCACGAGACATGCCTCCAGGAGAAATGTAGAAGAGAGCGGAGTCTTTCTGAGGAGGTTGTTCAAACCACCGTCAGGCCTTCTGTGCTATGACGTTTTATTTATTACAGGCTGTGAGAGCTGACATAGTCAAGCCAAACTGCTCAGCAGAATACAACATGGTTTAAAGCTATTAATAAACTAGCTACTGTAAACCAACTCTGAGAGGACTAGAGATATGAACACATAAGGCACAGTATAAACACACAGACCACCTCCTTTACGTTTAAATGATGCAGTTATAATTAATAAGAAATAGTTATTTAATTAAGTCTGATCGAATTAATGCAATACAAAAAGGGGCAAACTTATTATCTGATACCATATAAGCCTGAAGCCAGGGAAGTTTAGAGAAGAGGTCAGATTTCAGTGTTCAGCAAACAACATGACTGACATTTTGGCTTTTATACCTGCTGTCTGCCTCTCTCTGTCTGCTTACAATTAATGATCAGCAGCCTGCTTCTCCCTAATTCCCCCTCCGTCACCCTAAGAACCAACTAATCCTGTCCATCTCCTATCTGTTTCCAATCTCCCTGGTGACACACAGAAATACAGGAGTGGAGTTACAAGGGCCGTGTAACCTAGCCGTACGCATTTTATGTCAGCACCACCTGGATTAGTGTTTAACCACTCCAGAATCTGACAGCAGCACCAACCAAACACCAGTAATAGAATCCCTTCTTAGCAGGGTCTATCAAACAAAAATCTGCAGAAAATATAAGGTAAAAGATATAAAGGCACAAACTTATATTTAGTTTATAATATATTTGATTGCAAAGCTGTGTTCTGTTAAGTTTGGTTGGTTTATTTTGTCACAAATTAAGTTACAAGTTGACTGTTATTAAGCTTGTCTTATAATACTAACTTAATTTAAAAATATTGGCAATAAACCAGATTAAAGAGGTTTTAATTTTATGGAATAACAATATATTTTCACTGCTGGAATGTAGCAAAAATGAGAAATATCTTGATAAGAAGCAATGCTGAGAAACTTGTTCATGCATTTGTTACTTAAATAATCGACCATAGTAAATCTACAGGTTTGCTAGTGGTTCCTAGTAGTGTTATATTGAAGACCAAACCAACTGAGACCAAGTAGTATTGAGACCAATGCGATGTAAGGTCTTGTTCAGAGCATCTAAAGGTATTTGCCTTGTCTCGGTCTCAGTTTGGTCTTTAATACAACACTAGTTGCTAGTTAGATCTTTTTGTAACCAGGCTCCTCCCTTGTGGAAACAACTACCAGTTTTAGTTTGTGAGGCAAACACTCTGTCTACTTTTCAGGCTTGGCTTAAAACTCTCCTTTTTGATAAAGCTTATAGTTAGAATGACTTAGGTTAACCTGAGCTATCGCTATAGCTATGCTGCTATAGCATTAGACTACTGGAGGACATGGTGACCACTTTTCATCATTGTGCTGAAACCTTGAATTTAACCAACTGGAACTGATTATAATTAACTTTAAAGAAATATCAAAACTATATATTTGTAATTCAAGGCTTGAATAAAAAAAATTAGCTGTATATTTAATTAAAAAAAACGTGTCAGCTGTCATTGTGGCTTTTTATTTATATGTAGATACATGATGATGTATGTCTTTGTGTGTCTAAATTGTTAATGTATGTACCAAAAACTAACATCAAATATTTTTCTTTCATTTAACATAATAACTCATACCTGAGTAAGACAGCATAGACAAAAGTTAATTGGAAAAAAAAAAATCTTAACTTCCATTTTACTTGTAATGTTTATTAAAAAAAATAAAAACAACTAACAAAAATCATTGAGCGCTTAACCGGGAGATAAGAACCTGAGATCAGAGTGATCTCACGTCAGTGTATCAAGCGATAAATCTTTTATTTATCCTATCATAAAAAGTAGTCGCTATGGGCAGGTCTTTAAAATATACCCAGACTATTTATTTTTTTCCTAAAGCTAACTTCTATCTACAACCACCAGTCTATTTGACAGAGAATTAGATCAGAAAGCACTGTAAAAATACAAGCACAAAAGCCTAACTGAACAGCCCAGAGCCGTTCTCTACTTATGTTGTGAAGGAACCATAATGTTGAAAACATTATGGTTCCTTCTGAACTCCCATCTCTCTCCTTCAGCCTTGAGTAAAGACAGTCTCTCCTGGAGTCTGAATCACACGGATCTGTTTGAATTAAATATTATGCCTGCTTCTCTGTAGAGCTCTACCAATCCCAAGATATCCACACAAAGTCATTCAACAATTATGGCATCCAAAAACGGCAACGAGTGACACAAACTGAGCTCAAGGGTTCACAGCTGACATCATCTTGCATTAGATATCATTTAAAGTAGATCGGATTGTACTTGTTCATCTGCCAAAGTAACCATTCAGATATATGCATGTTGAAATTCAGTAAAATGTCAAGTCTCTCAAGGTATAAGGCAACAATATATATAAACATGAAGCTGGAGGACTAGGAACTGTTTGTAAATAAACAAAAGGAAGATTAATTTCTATAGAAATGCTCAATAAACTTTATGGGGTATTGCTGTGAGTGACCAACAGAAGGTTGTAGACCTAACAGCTCTCCTGAGACT